ACCATCATCATCACCATCATCATCACCATCATCATCATCATCACCAACACCATCACCATCATCACCATTACCATCACCACCATCATCATCACCACCCACCAACATCATCACCATCATCACCACCATAACCATCATCATCATCACCATTATCATTATCACCACCATCACCATCATCATCACCACCATCACCATCACCATCATTATCATCATCACCATCATCCTCATCACCACCATCATCATCACCATCATCCTCATCATCATCATCCTCATCATCATCATCATCCTCATCACCACCACCTTCATCATCATTATCATCAAACCTAACCACCAACGTGTTATTTCAGATATCAACGACTGTGATCCCAATCCATGTGCTAACGGTGCTCAGTGTAAGGATGATGTCAATGGCTTCACCTGTGTATGCGTACCTGGATTTGAAGGAAGTAACTGTTCTTCAAGTAAGTTTACTCAGTTTTCAATCAACGGGAAGCACGCATGGCGTGCGTCGCTTATGCGCTGCCTATATTTCACCCTGGCATCGAAAGCTCAAACATAAACCTTTGACATGGGGAAGAAAGCAATCGCTCACTATAATGGACGTTAAATAAATTGCAATTTATATTTTGTGCATAAGTAGAAGAAATAACTATGATTTTCAAGTACAGATAAACATTTGAACATATGACCCAATATTTGTGGTGAACAAGGCTGAAAAATCCTGCTAAAGTTGAGGATGGCCCAATGGGTTTTTCACGGCCAACTCACGTCAACCCGTCCGGTTCCCATCACGCGACTTTTTCCAAAGGTTTTTTTAGAGCAGGTCCGTACAGGTCATTTGGTAACATAAAATAACGGTTACGCGCAACAACAAAAAAATTAAAGTGAAAGGTGTTTTAAATTAAAATAAGGGAGAAAAAAATAAAGATTTAAAATATTTCAAAAAATTAAGAGAGAATTCTTTTCGTATTCAAGCAGTGAGCGCCAAAAACTATTTTCTTGAAGAAAGGCTGTCGTACAAGGCTAAAATCTTGTTAATCAGAAAGTTTAATTTCTTTGGAAGTGAAGATGACCGATGAAAGTGGAATCAAAGTGTTAACCCAAAGCAAAAATTTGAATCGAAAATGAGGTTTAGGCCTTCATTTGCTTATTTCCCATATATTTTCTATAAAAAAAGCCTGACAAAGCAACATTCTAACGCAAATGCAACCAAACTTCTTTGTACAATTGAAAATACCGCTTCAAACAGGCATTTTATCATAGTACATCAGTTTCTAACTGCTTAAAAATGGTTTTGAGTGTTAACCCAAAACGAAAATTGGGATCAAAACTCATACGAAAGTCTAGTTTTTGGCGCTTTTTGCCATTATTGCTCATTATTGAAAAACATTTCCTCTTAATATAAATATTATTTTATTTTAATTTCTTGAATGATTTGTTTGCCAGATATTAACGACTGTGAACATAATAAGTGTAAGAATGGTGCTCAGTGTATCGATCTGGTCAGCGGCTACAAGTGTCAGTGCAAACCAGGCTTTGAAGGAGCGAACTGCGATATAAGTAAGAGATATACTTCATGTAATGTGCATTTTTATGACCCTGGTGGTAAATGTATCTAGTCATTGTCATACATGAAGTATCTTCCCATGTCATGGAAATCAGGTAGGAACTTCATGTAATGTGCATTATAATGACCCTGATGGTAAATGTATCTAGTCATTGTCATACATGAAGTATCTTCCCATGTCATGGCAATCAGGTAGGAACTTCATGTAATGTGCATTGTAATGACCCTGGTGGTAAATGTATCTAGACATTGTCATACATGAAGTACTTTCCTCCTGTAAATAGTCCAGTTTCAATCTAAGGACTTACAGATAAGTGTAGGTCCCCGTGGTGCTATGAAACAGTATTAGAGAGTTTTAGATTGACTTTTTTTTCTCCCCACAAACGGCAAACGTGACCACGTTTTCATCGTTTTCCTGTATTTTACTTTACCTTTTACAAACCTTCTCACCAAAGACAAATATTCTTTTGTTTTTCTTCTACTTGGACTTTTTTGCGATTCTTTTTAAGCTATTTAAAATAATTTTTAAATGGTCAACTGACGTTTCACGTTTGCCGTGAACGTAAATCTAAAACTCTCTATTATATTCCCAAGGGGCGCAGTGGCATCCTCCTATTATGATATTTGTCATATATAGGGCAATTAAAGAGAACCTTATTTCAAATCGTTAATTTTTCAGACCACAATGATTGCTCTCCAAATAACTGCGCCAGTGGCTCGACGTGTACAGACTTGATCAATGATTATGAGTGCACATGTATGGATGGATATCAAGGAAAGAACTGCGACCAAAGTAAGTAATCTATTGGTTTATTCAAGTTAATAAGCCACCCCGTCTGGTTGGTAGCACATGACGGGCAGTGTTTGTCTGTCATTGTAGGCTGGTAATGAGATTCATGAGATTCATTCAGCTGATTGATACCAAGCAATAGAATACTCTCTGGTTGATAGCACATGACGGGC